GAACTCACGTCTGCAGAAGTTTGATCAGTTGGCAACCACTTATCAAGATACTGTTATCCACAAGAGGACCATTGATTGCACCTACATATATAGACCTCTTGCTTGTTCCACACATGCGTCTACATTGCAGGTTTCACATACTCTTCATCATCGTTCAGCTTTTTCTCAAGAAAAATCTGAAGCTAAATACACAATGGCTAAGCCAATAATTTGCACATTATAACTCTCTCTCAAACGGAACATGTTTTGTGTATTAAACATGAAATAAACAGAGAGATCGATTTATAGGACTTCAATTCTGATTTATCAAGTCAAAACAAACAGAACCCGATCGACCTATCTGTGTAACAAAGAGACCAAAGATAAAGATAGAGAAGAATTCCAAGAACAAAAATTTCCAATAATTATCCAAAACACGCAGTGATTAATTAAACTTAACTTACAGTTCATCAACATTTGGTGATAAATCCAACATATAGAGATTTATATAATAAGCATCCAGAAGGAAGCTCAACATTTATACTACACCTCCTTAAAGCAGACCTATCAAAAACCCATAAAAAAAAAAAATAAGAATAACAAAGATACATAGTCAAAAATTTCCAAGATACGAACAAAATCTCTGAAATCATTACTAATTTTTTAAAAAAAAACTATCATCATGCCTAAGCTGCAGAATAATAACCAGTATTAAAGGTATAAAAACCAATGTTTGATTAAGAGGAAGATTTAACGGAAAGATATTTAAAATCAATTAGATCACCTAATGACCATGGCTCATGGTATCTTGGTCCCTAAGAAGCTTTTAAGTAAAAGACATAATACATACAAATAAAAACATTATGTGAGAAATCAAAATAATAGTGGTAGTGAATCCTCACTTTTGATGTTTAATGGCCGATCAATGTCGGAAATCGTACTCGCGTCTAAAATATGCATGCTTGTACTTGTTCCCTGTTAATTGGATATCGTACTCGCATACAAAACTTAATTACACCATGGGAGAGTGCATGTTTCTAAAATATGGAAATCCAGTTATGTAGATAAGCATTCAATAAGCAGAAAAGATTTAGAAAAATACGGCCACAATAATCATAACACTCTCTTGAAGATTAAGGGAGTTTTTGTGACCTCATTATTATCCTATACTACCTTTGGACTTGATTACATCTTTGTTATAGAAATGTTTAGGCTAACGTTCCTTATTTTCTTTTATTTAAAATGGCTCCAACATATTGGTACATAGCTTTTAAAAGTTGATATATTAAGGTAAAATCCCAATGGTACAAACCATATAGTGTTTTTGTGTTTTCCAACAAAAATTTTCTATTGTTATGCAACTTTAGACTTTCACGATGCCAAAAATTACCACATCTTTAAATCTCGAACACTGGTCTATCAAGTTTTGTGAGTCCAAGTAACTATAAACACATTTTAAAAAATATCATCATGCAAATTAAAATACTTTTTATAGAAAACTTATACAATACATTGATATCATATAATAGATTAGCCAAAGAAGGAAGGACATATGTTTAATCATTCACACATTGTAATAGTATCTGCTGCAAAAATCTCTAGCAACCAGGAAGGAAAGTGAAAGTTTTGGCTATTCTCATTTGCCTTGGGAACTAAGTCTCCTTGGTATGATACACTGATTAGCAATTACAGAATTGATTTTTCACTTGAACGATAAATTTTGAACAGTTATGAAAAACTTTACTATGTTAATATTTCTTCTGCATTAAACTATAATTTGTTTTCTGCAATAGCATGTTTAATCTCTTAAACAACTGCTTCAAGAAGACTCTCTTTTGAAAAGAAAAAAAAAATTCAAACTTGGGTTCACTTTTCAAGTTTTCACGTTGTTCTTTGCTTTTCGTCAAGCTTTCTGTTAAGCTAAGGAGCAAAAGTATTAACTGAAAAGAGATTCGAAAGATAAACTTCACTGGAGAAAATGAATACTTTTCTTTCCCTGCCTGAAAAGTTATATTTCCTCTTTACACACCAAAACAACACATATATATATACAAACACACACAAACTTTACTCTTTACCATTTATCCATTTTGACATCCCTTTCCCATATCATCATGCCTCTTTTCCGTTTTAACATTCCTTTCTTCTCCTACGGCTCCCCTTCTCGTCTCTCTTGAGAGACTTCTTCGCCATCACCACCACTTACTTCTCCTTCACGCCCTCCTTTTCGTCCTGCAGCCAACCACGTCGTTAGAAACCAAGCCTAAAAGAAATGTTGCAGCCATTACAGCTTCTTCGTCTGCGTCTCAGTTTCCTTCACGAAGTGCTGTCACGCCAGATCAGCTGGCGAAACAAAGTAATCAATCTGGTTCTCCTCTAAAGATACCTGAGTCTCTGAGGGCAGAGGAGCAAAAGGTGGGGATGAAAAATAAAATATCAATAGGCATTGAAAAAGAAGCTGGCGAGAATATCAATCCGGTAATAGAAAAACCTATGGCTGCTCGTTTAGAACGAAAAGAAGCAGAAGAAGCTAAGACACAAAGGAAAAATACTGAGGTAGATAAAGTTGCAGTGATAGAAAGGAATTCAAAAACAGCTCAGGAAGAGAAAAGAAATCGAGAAACTTGCAATAGGAAAAGAAAAAAAGTCCTTCGTAAGGACATGAAAGAGAATTCAAAAGCAGCTCAGGAACAACATATAAAAGAGAAAAATTATCGAGAAACTTGTGGTAGAAGAAAAGAAGAAAGTTCTTCGCGAGGACACATAAGAGAATTCAAAAACAATTCAGCAACAACATAAGAGAAAAGAAATTGAGAAATTTGCGATGGAAGAAAAGAAGAAAGTTATTAGCAAGTACATGGAAGAGAACTCAAAAACAGCTCAAGGAACAACATAATATAAAAGAAACCGAGAAACTTGCGGTGGAAGATAGTATTAGAGCTCTTCAGACAGTGGGTCAAGAAGATGCAACGCATAGCAAAAATCACATGAGATATTACCGCAGCACCAGAATCCCCGAGAGTGCCAAGAGATCTGTCAGAGAAAAAGATGCAAAACAGAACAGTGTCACAGACAATGATGACAAAAGGGAAAGATGATAAACAATACCACATGATCCAAAAATCATAATTCAGATAAAATAAGAACGATACAAACACAAATGTCTTGATTTGAGTTATATATTGCTGCAGCAAACACAAAATACTAAAACTTATAAAAGAGAGGCAATGACATATAACCCTGATAATAGCTAAACAACCAATATCAGGGCAACAAACGAACAAAATCATAGTGTAACAAAAAAATATAACCATGAAAATCTCTACCTCTTGCCACTATTTAAGAACACTAAAGCAACCCTCTCCGAAACAGGACACGAACACCTAAAACCTATAAAAAAATCAAGATAAGAAAGATGAGAATTAAATGAAAAACCATCAAAAAAATCACCAAAGAGACAACCAAAACGGAATCAAAACAGACAAAAGCACAAACCTGTTTCAAACAAAGCACATACCTTATCAGAAGTGAATAGGCGTTTAAATCTGTCAAAAAACAGAGAAAACATCATATAAGAGCATAACCATGAATAAACCTTCCATCAATCACTAAGTGAACATAAAAACTAAAAATAAATCACGAAGAGAAAGGTGCAAAACTACTCAATTAGGAATGAACCATAATGGAAAAAAGTACACAACTTCAATATCCTTTTCAGCAGATCAACCTACAATAGAAAAAACACAACATCAAACCAAAAACGATAAGTAAAAATAGAAAAAGTAAGTATCAAAGCGGCGTAAACTACGAAGAAAACAAAAAAAATATTGCACATGTCCGATTTCAACATAAGTTTAGGTTAAATCAAGACCTTTGAAATTGAAATCAAAAGGTTAAACGAACTAACCTAAAAAGTGCGGCTAAAGACACTTGCACGAAACCGATAAGCGGAATGAAAAGGAAGAATGCGTTCACAACTTCAGTATCTTTTTCAGAAGAACAGCCTATAATAGAAAAGCAACAACAACATCAAAAAAAAAAACGCAAGCATAGTAAAAGCATGAATCAAAACGGCGTAGACCACAAAGAAAACAAAGAAAATATTGCATATGAGAAAGTTACACAAGACCGATAAGCTGAATGAAAAGGAAGAATAAGATTGCACTTAAATATCCTTCTCGAAAGATCAGCCTGCATTCACAACTTCAGTATCCTTCTCGAAAGATCAGCCTACAATAGAGAAGCAACAACAACATCAAAATAAAGCAAAAGAAAAAAAGCAAGCAAACTAAAAGCAGGAATCAAAACGGCGTAAACACACAAAGAAAACGAAGAAACTATTGCATATGAGTAAGTTTAACCTAAGGTTTTTCTAAAACGATATGGAAGAATGAACATAGGAGACGTATTTATATAGGTGTTCAAACTTAGGGTTTATATTGCTAGAGTTTCGTTTAGGTTACGAAAAATAGTTAATATGGGCCGACAACATTCAGATCCACGCGTTTAGGGCCGACGATATTAATATCTTCGAGTTTTTTGTGGCTGATCATCCATTTCTTTTTATGATTAGAGAAGACAAGACTGCAACAGTTTTGTTCGTTGGTCAAATCTTTAATCCTTCCAAACATGCCTAGGACCGGATTTGACAAGATTACGGTTTGGTATTTTTCTTTTAGATTTTTGTTTAGGTCAAATGACAACATGGTAAATTAGATCCGAGATTGGTTTTGTCTTTTGTGGCTGTTGATTTAGATCTTGCACTACAAACAAGATTGAATAGATAAATTTGAGTCAGGAATCCTATTGTATTTGTATACTTTGGTACTCTTAACTACGACATTAACTTGAGAGCCAAGGAACTAAACAAAGTTGTGCAGCAACTAGCAAGCAGTAAATCAAATCACTTAATAAGTATAAGCTTTATAAGAATTGGTAAAAGCAATTTTCTGTATTTTATTTCTCAACGGTTAAAGCAAAAATTGATGTGTGAATAAACTAAATATCTTTAAGTGAGCGAAAAAGTACATCATAAAAGTAGTAAATCTTTCCACCACCTCTGCTTCACCTCATCAGTATTCCCTTAACATGTTTTCTCAGTAATCTGTAAGTAGAAGAAGGTAATCAATCAAAAATCCGCAGTGATTTTGGAATATGCACACATTTACAAGTAATCCATATCTTCAAAAAATCAAAGGTTTTAACATTCTTCTGCAAAAGCAATGTAGCAAAATAAGGCTTCTCTGTTCTTTGATAGTCGGTCGTATCCTAACACAAATGCTACAACAAACAGAAACTAAGAAGCCTCTCTGTTCTTTGATAGTCGGTCCCCGAGATACCTCTTACACTTACACATGACATGTTTCTTGTTGTCTGGATTTCAATTTCGCAGATCGTTCTTCATACGAAGCTGTAGAAAAATAAAACCAAAAAGAAAACTGAGATGGACCGTATACGAGCTTTACCATGTGTACACATGTTGCAGTGAGACATATAGAGAGACTTACGCTCAGTTGGTCGAGATAACAGAGGAACGTGTACTGCTCCTTTCTTCTTCTTTTCTACGCCATTACAAGAACTTTTCTCTGTTGTATTAGAAAATTAACAAAAAAAAAGTATTTAACTTTTTCAGCTCCTTCATGGAACTCATGCTACTAGTTAAGGTAGAGAAGAAACCGATACCGTACCATTGCCTACGGGTAAGCAGTTTCGGAGAGCCTCCTGGAAAATCACAGACTCTAATTGGTACCTAAGTGACTCATTCTTGAAATGAGTCCGTAATGACTCTGCAGCGCCTTTTGGACATGAAAAAGAGATGTTTAATAGTAATATTAACTTCTGGATCTGCAAATCAGTAGTAAGATATCACGAGCAACCGCTTAATTACCTGAAGAACAAATGAAGTCAACATTTTCGAATTCGCATGTACGGAGGACTAAGGGGATCTCCGAGGCCAAAAGGTATTGAGGTTTTCTTGGTATTTTTGTCGTGTCCAACATTGTATCTATCACCTGCGTCAGTAACATCCAGGTTCATTGCAGAATCAACATATGAAGAAAATCTAAACCGGTAAGGATTAGATTGAGCTGGAAAAGAGAAGTTGGAAAAAACTGAAGGCGCTTAAGAACTTACATCAACCGATTCAACTCCCTGCCCAATCATGAATAGCACGGCGACCATGGCGCGGACCTGGTGCCAAAGGAATGCACTGCCTCTCATTGTAAATGTGCAAAGTTGAGCACCCTCGTGACTTTAAAAGAACAAAAAGTACATCACAAGTTTTAGGAACAAAAAATTAAAGTAAATGATCAGAAAGACTGGTGCGAGTTTAAAAATGAGTGCCATTGTGCTCAAGAGGATGTAAAACTTATGTTGTTCTTGTGATTTCTAGAACATGATTTTCTCTACCCTAAAATTCCTCCAATTCCAATAGTCATGTAACCTTATAATTTTAATGGTATATCCTAATATGGTCCAGCATTATAAACGTCTAGTTCCTGAAAATCCTGTGGTCTAAAGCGATATTCCATCCTAGATCACAAATGTAGTCAGCAGTCATAAGCAGGGGAAACAGTAAATTTGCTTAAATGTGCTTATTTCCATAGCTGACCTATTTTGACAAGGAGAGACTTCAAAGAAAGTAACACGTCGTGTATAGCAATGCACATTTGCCACGTCCATCTTGCAGAAGTTCCTGAAATCATGCTCCCCAATGAACTTCTTACCAGCAATGTCCATGGCCTAGAGGAAAATACGATCAATAATATAAGCATCTAGATTGTTTCAATTTTGAAGTGCTTTGACTTTACAAACAAGTGTAGAGGATAACCGCACCGAAAGATTTAGGTTCTGTCTCCAAAAAAAATATTTATATTCTCTAGCCGAACAACTGAACCTGTACCCAGGGAAACACAAAAAAGAAAAGAATAGAAAAGATAAGCATGCAGATCCAATAATAGCTCACAGAATACTCTGTAGTCTTAAGCGCAGAATAGCGCATACACGAATGGAACCAAATAACAAAAGGCAATGCGCACACCTTGCATGAAAGTCAATAGGAGCGGGAGACCACCCCAAAACTCGAATGTCATCAGGGAGAGCACGATTCAGCACTCGTACATAGTCATACTCTCCTCCTAAACAAGAGAGCGCAGAGAATTACAGAAACACCATTAAAGGGGGAAAAACCCACTACATTGAGTTACATTCTCAGAGTAAACTTACTCTCATTAACTTTCGCATCAACATGAGCTTCAGAGTCTCCGGAAGGTGTCTTTAGCCTGGACCTCAAAAACAAAGCAATCACCTGCATCAACAATCAAATACGAATATGAGCTTTGGTTCCACGGGACTATCTTATAGACATTAGGGAATGCACCTAATAGAATTTTTTGGAAGAAGTAGAACACCAGTATGATAGGAAATTGATTTTTGAATTGGTGATATTAGATGATTCTACCTATGTATACCATTAACACACAAGATCTTTCGCTACAGATAACCAGTGATCTACAAGGATTTCCAAGTGAAATCAAAAGAAACTATAAGGCGTATAATGCAACCCACCTGCCCTGTGGACGAAACACCTTTATCTGTTCTCCCGCATCTCGAGTAATTAGACTCCTTCTTGTCACCAACTAAAAGACGTGTCCTCTCAAGTGCTTTAAAAATTTCTGACTGAAGCAGAAAGTACACAAATACACATGTCATAAACACAAATAAGTCATCAGTACACACAAACAAAAAAGAGACAAAGTGAACACAACCACACCTCAACACTTGGTTCCATTTGTGCTTCAGCAGAAAAGCCATAAAATCTATAACAACCAAAAAGTTATTCATTTATACGATTAGCAAAACATGACAGAGCATGAAGAAGAGAAGTAACCTAAAAACATACCTCTTACCAAAATACATGATTTTTAGAGCGATATATCTCTTTGAGACAAGATGACTCGGTATGCTATCAGCTCTTTTTCTAGCTTTTCTGCTTCTCCTAACTAAGCTTCCAGGATCTAAGACAGACACATCATGCTTCACTTCCATCTACAAAAAAAACACCAAACACATGGAGATTCGTAGCAATTTCAAACAAAAACAATGTCAAGTCAAATCAAGGGTGAGAACATAGTTCACCTGTTGGCATTGGCAGCTCGAAATCAAGGATAACAATTTAGCATTTTCCGCCTCTAACTCCTGGTGAGTTATAGAATAAATCAATCAAATGTGTGGTGAACTGAAACTTCTAAATGAGAATCAACCGATGATTGAAAACGATTTCAAATCTAATTTCAAGCACTTGTGTATTTGAATCGTTCGACTAACAAAATGCTTATAAACATAGAGACGATAGTTCGAAGCAGATGAGAGAATCTACCTTCACGCGATGACGGAGAGACTCTAGTTCGGTTACTTTAGCGGATCCTGAGTCTCGGCCATCGCCGCCGGGATCGACTTTTCCGCCGGACATAGTCATTTTATCAGCGGCGGAGATTAAGACGGTTACTGGTATGACGGCGACGAATCTTCGAATTCGTCAGAGATTCTGGACGCCGGTTGGAAAAGAGTCCAACGACGGCGACGAAACGGCGGCGTCGAAGGAGAAACGGTTTCGTGTTTTCGGATGGGTCAAAGATTATACATATATTTCTCTCTATTCACACATTAGTCACTATAGTTATTTGTTTTTCTCTTAAAGCCCTTTTACTTCTAAGGATTACCAATAAATAGATTATTATTAGCGACAAAAAAAAAAGATTATTATTATTTTTACTATCAAACCGAGCAGAGTGAGCTGACCCGAACCGACTTTTTTGGTTACCGGTTTTAGGTTCGAACCGATCAGCAGATTTAAAGAACTGAAAGGGGTATTGGATCTTGGAATTTAATTGAATCTAAGAGAATTCAATATAAGACATAGTAGGAGAATCTAAGAGAATTCAATATAAGAATCGATGAAATAACTCATTGAATAACACAGAATTTAATAGAAACCTTAATTCTTGCAAAATCAGTAAAATTTCGAGATCCAATACCCTCTGAATCGGTTATCAGTTTGGTTCGGCAGTTTTTTTGTTTTTGTTTTTTTGAAAAAAAATTTCAAATCGATTTTTTTTTCCAACTTTATGAAAATAATAAAAACAGAACCAAATAATATAACCGAAACGAAAACTACCTGATTTCAATGGAATTTCAACACAAAACTCTAAAATTTCAAGTTAGTTTTTGGTAAATTTTAAATTATTCAAACTAACCGATCAAACCAAACTACTATTGATAAAAATTTTAAGAACTGAAAAACAGTAAAATGGGCTGGTTCGGTTTGGTTAACCGAATTCCCATGCCTAATAAAAACCAATTTTTAGGGAGAGCAGAAAAAGAAGCAAAAACCAAACATATATCAAGTAAATTGGCAAACCAAAAACAAAGAAAAAAATGTTGGATTTAAATATTATCCACGATAAATAAGCGGATCTATGGCCGAGATCTAACAACAAAGTTGGATTTGTTTGTTAATGTTAATTTGTTTTCTTTTTTGTCAACAGTTAATTTGATTTAGTCGATATTTTTTCCAATGAGATATTGATTCAGTGTACGTTTGATAAAATCTTCTGAATTAAATAATTCATATTTGATTAATTTTTAACGAATAACAATGAAGTTAATTTATGTTGAGATAAAAAAAAAAAAAAAAAAAGAAAAGAAGTGACTTTTGCGCGCACCACCCCAAAAAAAAAAAGAAACTGACTTTTATATAAATACATGACCGTAACCCTTTGGAAAAAAATTATCTTTGATCACTCATGATCGTTGAACACATCCTTCTTCTATGATCTTTTTAGTTTGAGTTTTTAACCATGGGAACTTCTGTTGAAGTTAGGCTTAGCGATATGATCTTGAAAAACGAATTTGGGAAGTTTTCGTTATACGTTGGAGATCTTGATTCGAGCGTTGAAGAGAGTGATCTATACAACAAATTCGATGCAGTCGGTGAGGTTTCTTCAATTAGAATCTGTCGTGACCGAAACACCGGTTCGTCTCTTGGCTATGCGTATGTCAATTTCAACCATCATTCTCATGGTAAGTCACAATTCCATCCATTATTATATTTTAATCCAAGTTTCTACGTGATAAAATTTGGTTGATTTTTAGGGTTTAGCAGTTTAAGTTTGATCACTTGTATAGTTTCAATTTTTAGGGTTTTCTTTTCACACAAATGAAAAAGGGTTTTATTTTCTCTTGGGATAATAAAGTGTGTTAAATTCTCTTGTTGTACTATCCTTATTATATGGCATATATATATATATATATTAATGTAATAATAACTTGGTAATTTTGTGTTGAAATCAATGAATTAGTTTGCCTGTGTGTGATTTGGTTTTAACTGGTTTACTTTGCGTTCAAAAACAGCGGAGAAGGCAATGAAGGAGCTTAATTTCGTGGAGATTAAAGGAAAACCGATGAGGATAATGATCTCGAAACGTGATCCTAGCATGAGGAAGAGCGGCAAGGGTAACGTGTTCGTCAAGAATATGGACAAGTCTATAGACAACAAGCAACTTGCCCACTTGTTCTCTTCATTTGGAATAATTCTCTCTTGCAAAGTCGCTCGTGACGCTTCTGGAGTTTCCAAGGGACACGGATTCGTCCAATTCTACTCGGAAGCTGCACATAGACGTGCCATTAATGAACTCCATGGCGTGTGTGTCCGTCAACAATATCTTCACGTCTGTCCATTCTGACGTCGTCTATGGGATGAGTCTCCAGTATTCACGAATATTTATGTTAAAAATTTGGCTCAGACTGTGACTGATGCTGATTTGAAGACGATTTTCGGAGAATTTGGGGAGATTACTAGTGCCGTTGTGATGAGAGACGGAAAGGGTAAGTCTAGAAGATTTGGCTTTGTGAATTTCAAAAAATCCGAGGCTGCGGTTACTGCTATAGAGAATCTGAATGGGACAACCGTCCATGAAAAAGAGTTGTACGTTGGAAGGGCTCAGAAGAAAAAGAATAGAGTTGAAGTTTTGAAAGCTAGCTTCAAATTAGAGAAGATAAAACGGGATGTGAGAAGGCCTAAAGGTTTGAATCTCTATGTAAAGAATCTTGAGGATTCTGTTAACGACAAAAAGCTTCAAGATTTATTCTCTGAGTTTGGTACCATCACTTCTTGCAAGGTCATGAACCACTCGAATGGTATGAGCAAAAATGTTGGGTTTGTTGAGTTCTCTACAGGCGAGGAAGCTTCTAAAGCTGTAAGTTCTTAAACCAAATTTGCATTTTAGTTATTTTTGTATGGTAGCTTTCTGATCAAGGAATTTAAGACTAATTAAGTTTTTGTTTTATTGAACAGATGCTGGAAATGAATGGGAAGATGGTAGGACAAAAACCTATATATGTTTCTTTGGCCCAACGTAAAGAGGAACGTCGACTTCATCCACAAACTCAGTTTAATAACGTTGTTTCTCTAAGACCAAGTCCTCACCAACATCCTATCTTCACTCAAGCAACCGCTCCGGCAACAATGTTACCTCCACAACTTCCATTCCGAGGATACCATTTCCAACCGCACGTCATGTTTGGATCAAGATTACCAAACGGTTTCCCGGCAATGCATGTCCCAAACGTCATGGTGCCACAACCATTGTATCCACCTCCTCTTCCAGTGACCTTACACCACTGTTTGCAGCCTATGATGTCGATGACACTACAGTAACCACAACTGGAGTTCAGGAGCCCTATTACCCTAGAATTTAGTAGCTTAACTATAGGGATTTCACATTTGGAAGCTGAAAATTTTGGATTGATTTTTGTGTTTTGTTTTTCATTTTAATTTTGATTTACTTTACGTGGAAGTCATGATAGGGTTTTAGTTACCATATCAAAATTACTCATTGGTTTTTATTTGGGCTGAACCAAATATTTATAAATAACCAAGATTTGATTTCAGAACCTGTTAGTTTTAAAAGAAGATAAACAACCGGTGTAAATAGGTTTCAAAACTTTCAGGCGATGAAAAACTACATAAACTGTCTCTGCATAAAAGGAAAACCATGCAAGTCCCAAGAAAAAATCCGAAATTGTATGGTTCCTCTCCTTAAAACTGTCAACTATCTAAAGCCATACTTTGTGAGACCACACAGCCTGTTTGTGGGAGGTTTGACTCTGTAAATACAAACAGTCCAGTTTGATGTTGTACGTGTAGGCTTCTTGTAAGTGTTCCAGTTGTTCCCTATATCTTAACACCAACCACTTCCGTATTTGGTTAATCGATCCAAAACACCTTATAAGTATTTCAGATGTTAAAATTGTGCTTCTACAGAATGTTCACTATAAAAGAACACAAGACTTTAATTTGTGAACATTTGTGAAGAAATCCAGAACATTCACGAATGATCCATTGTTTCAACTCTCGTCTCTCTTTACCTCAGCCTGAGATTTAAAATTGCACTTGTCCCTGAAGTATATGTACTCGATGACTGCAACAAGTTTCTATTGTGATCAGGCGTCCAAGCTTCACTCGTATCATCCACAATGACCATTATACGCTTATCAGCAACAACAATGTCAAGTATCTTCTTAAAGAGGACTTTCCTCTCTGGATATCACTCGATCTCTAAAGTATACTTGGTTCGGATCAATCAAAATCAGCACTGTCTGAGCGTAAATGGTTACAACCCATTGTGAAATCGTACATGGAGAAAAGCTTGTTGGCTTCTTGCAGAAAGTCACAGACAGAGGTCGTAGCTTTATCAAGAACCCGCTGGGAATGGCCTTTGTCGAACCTCCATAGATCTTCCATTGAATCAGCTTCTTCAGTAAGCTACTTTCCTATTTAAAAGAGTTCTGAAACTAATATCGAGTGTACAAGCGTGTGGTCTAAGTCAAGGCCTAAAGTAGTTAAGCTTTAAGAATAACAAACTCTCTTTATTAATGTTTAGGAAAATAACTCAAAACCTAAACTCCAAAACTCTTCATCTTTGTCACAACTTAACAAAGCTATTTATATAGGTAAAACACAACACTGTTTTCCTTTTCCTAATAGAAGAATATTTCCTAATCCTAAAGGTTTTGCCTCTTATCTCTTAACCTACTTGTTAATGAGATATCTTAGGCTATAAGCTACTAGAAACTACTAGAAGTTTATCCAACATTCACCCCTTTAAGCTTCAAGTAGTTTTCTGACAAATCTTGTACTCCAATCAATGTCCTCATCTGTTTGAACTTGATTCGTGCAAGTGCTTTAGTGAGAATGTCTGCACACTGTTCTTCTCCTGGTACATGCTCGACCATAATTTGGTTTTCTTCAACAGATTCCCGAATTAATCAAATAACGCTTATGGATATGCTTGCTTCGACCGTGAAAGACTGGATTCCTTGTAAGCTCAATCGCTGATTTGTTATCGATTCGAATCACTACTTTTTCATGCTTCTTTCCGGTGATTTCACTCAGTAAGTCCTGTAACCATATAGCTTGTTTTGCGGCTTCAGTTGCGGCCATGAATTCAGCTTCACATGAAGATAAGGCCACTCTTTCCTGCTTTTGTGAACACCAAGTAATGGGAGCTTCTCCAAAGTAGAAGACATGACCTGTAGTGCTTCTTCCATCATCAGGGTCAACGTTATGAGAGCTGTCGCTATAGCCCACAATCTTTTGAGTTCCTCCTTTTTTAAAGATAAGACCGTGACTTATGGTTCCTTGAAGGTATCTCAAAACTTGTTTTAGTGCATTCCCGTGAGATTCTTTGGGGCTTTGCATAAATCTGCTCAAAACTCCGACTGAAAAAGCGAGGTCCGGTCTGGTGTGAATGAGATATCTTAGACACCCAATTCTTCTTCGATATGTGGTGGCATCGATCTCTGTTTCTTCATCCTCTCCTTTGGACAATACCAATCCGAAGTCCATCGGTATGTGAGTTGGGTTGCAATCTTCTAACCCTGCCTCTTTTAAGATTCTGCGAGCATATGCTTCTTGTTTCACTTCTATTTGATCTTGAGTTTGACTTACTTCCATCCCAAGATAGTATGTAAGTTTACCAAGATCTGACATTTCGAATTGAGAGGACATTCCTGCTTTGAACTTGCTAATGAGCTTCGCCGAGTTTCCTGTTACAAATAGATCGTCTACGTATACGGCCACAACTAGAAGATCATCTTCTTCTTCCTTGCGGTATACGGAGCTTTCTCTTGAACATCTTTTGAACTTCATTCCCTTTAAGATTTGATCTAGCTTTGTATTCCATGCTCGCGGAGCTTGACGTAACCCATGCAATGCTTTTGAAAGTTTAAACACTTTGTGTTCTTCTCCCTTCCTTTCAAATCCTTCAGGTTGCGACACAAAAACTTCTTCGTTTAGCTCTCCATGCAAAAATGCCGTTTTGACATCCAGGTGATGGATCTCCCATCCTTTTGATGCAGCTAAGCTTAGAAGTAACTGAATCGTTTCAATGCGAGCTACTGGTGCAAAAACTTCGTCGAAGTCAATTCCCGATTGTTGTACGTATCATTTGGCGACGAGACGAGCCTTAAACTTGTTAATTGATCCATCTGCGTTCCTTTTTATCTTGAATATCCATTTAAGACCAATAACCTTTGCTCCTATGGGTTTCTCCACAAGTTCCCATGTCTTGTTCTTGTTAATCGAGTTTATCTCTTCTAAGCAAGCTTTAGTCCATTCTTCGACATCTTTTGCTTCATGATAGCTTGTTGGTTCGCCGTTAATTGATAAGAGGAGCATCTCGCTTTCTCTCTCAACCAACATTACAAAATCTTCGAGATAACCTGGTTGTTTTCTTGTACGAGTGGAGCGTCTCGGTTGAGGTTGCTCTGTATCGGGACTCTGTTCAGCTTCATCAGGACTCTGTTCTATTTCTTCCTCGTTTGGCTCGATAATCTCATCGTCGTGATTATGAGCTGGTGTCTCCGTCTCGTTATCTCTCTGAGTGTCATCGATCGTGAATGGTCCATGTCCATTATCTGTTATCGAACCCCAAGTCATACGGAACATTCCTGGTTCGAAACTGATGTCTTTATCGGCTCCCTTCCAATTCCAGCAAGTTTCTTCTTTAAAAATTACGTCACGACTGACCACAATCTTCCTGGTAACCGGGTTAAGAAGTCGATAAGCTTTGGATCCAGTCTCTGTTCCAAGGTGAACTAGGGCTCTAGATCGGTCATCGAGTTTTCTCAAGTTAACTGGTTCCACTTTAGCATACGCGAGACACCCAAATACTCTTAGGTGTTCCAAGCTTGGTTTTCTGTTTCTGAGGCATTCATATGGTGTCTGATTCTTCAGTGCTCTTGTGGGAGTTCTATTAATTAGATATGTTGAATGCCTTGTCGCCTCTCCCCATAGAAAGTTCGGAACTTTCATGGCCTTTAGAATGCTTCTGGTCATTTCCATCAAGGTCCTATTTCTCCTCTCAACAACCCCATTATGTTGAGGAGTATAAGGTGCTGTCAGATGACGTCTGATCCCTGTTTGTTCACAAAAATCTTGGAACTCCTTGGAAGTAAATTCACCGCCTCTATTGGTTCGCAGAGTGATAATATCCTTTTTCAATTCTTTCTTCACTTGTTCTTTGAAGATTTTGAATTTTCCAAAGGTCTCACTCTTTTCTTTTAACAGAAAGCTCCACATATATCTTGTATAGTCGTCTACTATAACAAAGATGTATCTGTTCTGCGCCCATGTAGGTGGTGATATCGGTCCGCATAGGTCTGCGTGGAGTAGTTCCAAGACCTGTGAAGCCCTGTACTGAGTGGCTTTTGGGAATGCTTGCCGAGCTTGTTTTCCCACAAGACAAGATTCGCAAACTTCTTGTACACCTTCTAACTTCGGTAATCCTCTTGCCATCTCGAGTGCGGACATTGCTTTTATGGCTTTAAAGTTGATATGACCGAGTCTTGCGTGCCACTTCCAAGTTTCTTCTTAGAGTTTTGAGTGTAAGCAGATTGGGTTTCCTATCTGAAGGTTTACTTTGTAGAGTCTGTTTGGAGCTCGAAGTACATTCACAAGAAGTCGTCCATTGGGATCGTGGAGAGTAAGATAGTCATGTCTCATCCTGACATCACAGCCATACTCGGTGGCTTGTCCGAGACTCATTATGTTACTCTTTAAGCCCGGGATGAAGTATATGTCTGTCACAAGTTGTTGTTCACCCGTCTTGCCTTGAAATAGTATCGATCCCTTCCCTTCAATCTTAACACAGGAGCCGTCGCCAAACCTTACTCTTCCTTTGACACTTTCATTCAGCTCAGAGAAGAAAGAACGCTCTCCTGTCATATGGTTACTTGCTCCGTTGTCCAAGTACCATACACCTTTCTCGCTTGTGCCAGTCTCGTATTTCTTAGGCATTACGTTTTCCTCGTTCAGATAAACGATTTCATGCATATAGAGTGCTTATTCTTCCTCTGTTTCCTCTGTTTCGGCGATGTTGGTCTCTTGTGCCTTTTGAAGTCTGTCTGGACACTTTGAGGCGAAGTGCCCGAATTTGTCACATCGGTAACATACAATTTTGGACATGTCTCTCTTTTCTCTTGTTTGAGACTGAGAGTTTGATCGACCTCGTCCTCGTCCTCTGTATCCTCCTCTGCCACGCGAACTCTGTTCGGAATTTGCATATAGTAGCTTTCCATGTGTCTCGTCGGTATTTTCTTCATCGAAAATACGTTCCTCGTAGGCTTTGAGTCTGCCGATAATGTCTTCAAATCCGG